CCGGGTGCGGGGCGGGCGGCCGTTCATGTCGCGGGGACTGCGGCGGAGCCTCTGCAGCTGCGCCCGGGCTCCCCGAAGACGCGGTGGCCGGGTGCGGGTCGCGGCGAGGGGACACACTCCCGCTTTGTTTCCCTGCCTTTCCGGTTCATGGGAAGCCGTTTCTAAAATCCACGAGTTTGTCCCCATCCGCTGATTGACAGTTGCGATCCTTCAGTTCCCAGGTCCTCTCCACGCTTCCAAAATTTACCGGGCCGGGCGACCCACCGCTCCTCCGAGAAACACGGAATGGAGACGTGTGGCTGCCTATGATGCGCTGGGACTATTTCTGTGTTCTCTGCGCTTCCATTGGACCTTGCGTCTGTGTTTATGCAGTATTCTGTAGGGTTCTGTTCTGTTCTGTTCCCTTTCGTTTGTTCTGTCACCTGCAGTGTGTTTTGAAATCAGGTAATAGGAAACATGGAGCATTGGGGATTGTTTCTAAACCCGGTTTTGGTGGTGCACGCCTTTAATCCCAGCACTAGGAAGGCAGAGGCAGGCAGATCTCTGTGAATTCGAGGCCAGCCTGGTCTACGAACTGAGTTCCAGGACAACTACGGCTACACAAAGGAACCAAGACTCAAAAGAAAAAAAAATTGTTTCTAGTTGTGTGTAAAATGTTGTGATAATTTCATGGCAATTTCACTGTATCTGTATTATTACTTTGAGTCATTTTTGCAACACTGATTCTCCTAATCCATAGTCATGTTAGGTCTTTCTTCTTCTAATGTCTTTTTTAATTTTTTTGCCTTTTTTATTGAAAAAATATTCATGCAATATATTCTGATCACCTTTGGTCACTCCCAACTCCTCCCCAAACTGCCCCACCTCCCTACCCACCCACCTTCACATCCTTTCTTTCTCTTTGTAATTGCTTCAGTGACCTACAGCTGCCTTGTTGAAGATTTTCATGTAATCAGTGAGGTTTGTCTTGGACATTTTAGTTTGTCTATTCATGACTTCCTGACAATGTATCTCTGTGAGATAGTTCATTATCCACTAGGAGAAAATGTATTGGGCATTGCCTGTTGATTTTGTACCCTCCTGCCTTCCTAAATAGTTTGTAATCTCTAAAAGCCTTTTTGGTGTTTTGGTGGTGGTGGTGGTGGTTGGTTGGTTTTTTGGTTGGTTGGTTGGTTGGTTTTTTGAGACAGGGTTTCTCTGGTCCTGGAACTAGCTCTTGTATACCAGGCTTTAGACCAGACTGGCCTCGAACTCACAGAGATCTGCCTGCTTTGGCCCCCAAGTGCCTTTTTTTAAAAAGACATTTATTTATTTGTGTGCTCTATCTGCATGTATGACTTTTATGCCAAGAGGGCATCAGATCCCACTATAGATAGTTGTGAACCACCATGTGGTTGCTGGAAATTGAACTCCGGACCTCTGACTGGTGTAATCTTTTGATCTGTTTGTAGTTTTGCTGGATATGTTACTTTTTACACAGAGAATATAACTGTGTACCCCAGCTGGCCTGGAACTCCAAATCCTGCTGTCTTAGCCTCCCATGTACTGTGGTTCCTGATGTGTATTATAGTACCTGGTTATGGTTTTCTGTGTATTGAAACAGAAATAGTTTGACTTCCTTTCTGATTTGTATACCTGTTATTGATTTTATTTGCATAATTGCTCTGGCTAATTTAATATTATATTCAAGAAGAGTCATGAGTAATAACCTAGTAATTTTTTCTGACCATTGAGAAAATGCTTTCAGTTTTTTCCCTTAGTTAGCATGTTGTTACTAGTCATGTGTTTGTCATGAAAACCTTTATTATCTTAATGTATGCTTCCCATTTCTACTAGATTCTGAGCTTTGAGCATGATGTGGAATAGAATAAGTCTTTCTTGCTTCTAATGTCTATTAGATTTTTAATTCTTGAATTTGTGTGGCGATCTACTTCTGCATATCTAAAGGAAACTTTACACATCAAAAGATACTTGACTATGATTTGTCAAAACACTTGACTTTCATCATTCCCATTTCAGTGTATAATTTGATTCTTCATGGGAAAGGGAAATGTGTGCATGTTTCCAAATAAATATTAATTTGTCCTTGAATGTATTAAGCAAGTTGATTTCTGCCATTAATGTTTGTACTGGCTCATTTTATGTCAGCTTAATACCAGCTACTGTCATTTTGGAAGTGGGACCCTCAACTGAGAAAATACCTCCATCATATTGGCCTGTAGGCAAGCCTGTGATTCATTTTCTTGATTGATACAGGAGGACCCATATTACTGTGTTTGGTGCCACTCTTGGGCTAGTGATCCTGTATACTACGAAGAACCAGGTTGAGCAAGCCATGAGGAGCAAGCTAGTAAGCACTGATCCTGCATGGCCTCTGCTTCAGTTCCTGCCCTGCCCTGCCTTTCCTTCCTGAAGAACTGTGATTGGTACATGTAAACTGAAAGAAATCTTTTCCTCCCCAAGATGCTTTTGGTAATGGTGTTTATCACAGCCAAATAAAACCTAAGACACTGTTGGTACCTGCATGATTATGAATTGATTTTCTGCTTATATGTAGGTCTCTTTTAGTCTCTTCTTAAAAAAAAAAAGAATTATTTATTATGTATACAATGTTCTGTTTGTATGTATGCTGCAGGCCAGAAGAGGTGCAGGCCAGAAGAGGGCACCAGATCTCATTACAGATGGTTATGAGCCACCATGTGGTTGCTGGGAATTGAACTTAGGACCTCCTCTGGAAGAGCAGCCAGTGCTCTTAACCTCTGAGCCATTTCTTCAGCCCCTCTTCTTCTTTTTAATACAATATTTTTGAGAATTTCTTATATGCATACAATGTATTTTTATCATATTTACTTTCACTTCTCCTAACTCCAGATTCATCCCCAATCCCCATCTCCTCCCAATTTCCTGTCCTGCTTAGTCTCTTTTTCAACATTACATTATATTTGGTAAAGGTTTCTTTTCATCTATTTGCACTATCATATATTATCATATATTCATTCTACAAAACAATTGGCTTTATTTCCTATAATAGTTTCACAATTACAGGTCTTACGAGTCCCCAGCACATGGTGTGTGCACTATGCACAGTTTTTTTTTTAAAAGTAATTTTATTAAATTATAAAAGTTTCCATTTACGCCCCTCTTCCCAACATCCTCCCACTCCCCCCACTCCCTCTCCTCCTCCCTCTTCGTCCCTAAGGGCAGTCAGGGTTTCCTGCCCTGTGGGAAGTTCAAGTTCCTCCCCCCTCCCTCCAGGTCCAGGAAGGTGAGTATCCAAACAGACTGGATCCCCAACTATGCACAGTTTTTTATGTGAGAACTAGGTCTTTATGCTTAGGTGGCAAGCACTTTACCAACTAATCTGTCTTCTTGGCCCAGGGTTTCTTAATATTTTTTCCAAATTAAACATTTTGAAAGTTTTCATCTGATACATGTAAGATAGCATTTCAAAGTATATTTGGGGTTTGGGGGGGTATTGTTTTTGTTAGTTTGGTTAGTTGCTTTGAGTGTGTGTTTGTGTTTGGATTTGCTAATGCTTTATCACCTACTATGTGATGTGTTTTGGGAAATCTTCCGTCTGATGCTGAGAAGAATGTGTGTTCTGCAGTTGTTGGATGGGCTGTTCTGTAAATGCTGCTAAGTGCATTTGATCTGTGGTGCAGTTTAACACTGAAGTGACCTATTTGTGATGTCAGGGTATTGACACCACAAGCTGTTATTTTGCCCAGTGCTGTTTGTCTGTAAGATACTCAGTTCATATGTATTTACATGGGACATTCTTTATGGACTTCCTCTTTACTTATATGTAAGGATCTTCTGATAAAGGAAATTCTGGGTTAATAGTCAACTGGATAAAGATGTGTTGAGAAATAATTATATTTTCTAAATATATCTGTCAGCAAGCCTCTTTTAACAATGCTATTCCCCTCATTTCTATTTCTCTTAGCCTTTTTGAGGAAAAACTAAAGTCTTCTCACATTATCATAGTAGATTATCCTTTGTAGGGCTTTCAAAATATTTGATTGCCAACAAGATGTCAGGTACAAGGCTTCTCAAGTTTTCTTTGTGCAAACAAAGATGTGCAGCTTCTTAAGGAAGAAGTTCGGAGATGAACTGTTTATTCTGTATTACCCGTCAGGCCAGCTCATTGGGAACTAATCCTCCAGAGCATATTTTTATTCTGATCAAGTAGGATCCTTCTGATAAGCATGTCAGAAGCTTGCAGACGTTTAGAGGAACAATGGGAGCTAAACAAGTAGCATATTGCTGTCTTAAACTAGAACAATGAGCCCCTTTCCACAGGTAGGCTAGTGAGGTCCATCCAAAATGCCAGTACCCAGACCCCAGGGAAAGTTGAAAATGTATCTTTTTTATATGTATGCTTACAGATGTTTGCACAAGTACACATGCACATGTGTGTACTTATGCATGTGGAGGTTAGAGAACAACCTTGGGTCATTCCTTGGAAATGACCTTTTGAGAAAGGGCCTTCTTTTGCCTGAAGCTTACCAAGTATACTAGACTGCCGGGCCAGTATGCACCACCTGTCTCCACCTGTAATCTCCAGTGCTGTGTTATACCACGTCCAGCAATTTTATGTGTACTTGTGGGGGTTCAAACTCAGGCCCTCATGCTTGAGAGTCAAGCACTGTTCCAAGCCCTGATATAAGAATAGTCTCCGTATAGCTGGTGTTAACTCTATTATGGATACTGACTAGTGGGATTTTTTTTTAAGACATAGCCTCACTATGTAAGGCTGACCTCAAACTTAAGGAGACCTGCCTGCCTCTGCCTCCCAAGTGCTGGGATTAAGGCATGTACTACTATGCCTGACCTAGTAGGATTGTTTTCTTATGAGAGGTATAAAGAACCATTATACAGACTTTACTGGATGACCAAAAAGCATCCAGTATTTGCTTTCCTTTTATAATATAGTTTCAGCCTAGCATTGGAATGATATTGTTAGAGTGAGGGCATTGACCAGAACGCTGATGAGCACTACCTGGGTTTAACAGCTAGACAGTACAACATTCTGTACACACTGTGCGCATGAGCAGAGTGCTCCAGTGTGTCTCACCCCTCCTCATTTTTCAGGGGTCTGTATCCTTCGAGGATGTGGCTGTGAACTTCACCTCAGAGGAGTGGGCTTTACTGAATCCTTCCCAAAAGAAGCTGCACAGAGATGTGATGCAGGAAACCTTCAGGAACCTGACTGCCATAGGTAAGGTGGAAATCTTTGCCTTGTTTAGTCCATGAGAATTAGATCAGTTTTTGCTGATCAGTGCAGCTCCATGATTCGTACAGAAACAGAAATTTTGGTGAATAAACCAGTCATGGTCATGTTGTACTGGGAGCCTACTTAGAATCTAATACTTTCCTATAGTGTTGAATTAACTCAAAGTGATTTTTCTGGATCTCCATTCCAGCAAAAAAGCAGGAAGATAAGACGCTTGAAGAGGATTATAAAAATTTAAGTAAAATTCTTCCCATTGCAGTTCAGACTGGATACAAACCATGTGAGAATCAAGAATATGCCAAGAAACCAGGCACTTATAAGGACTGTGGGAAAGTCTATAGTTCTCCCCAGTGCTTTCTGGAACATCTGAAGACTCACACAGAAGAGGAAACTTACGAATGCAAGCAAATTGAGGACGGTTTTAGTGGACACCATGATGTTCATGACCCTGAAGGAATGCATGCTAAAGAAAAACTTTGTATTTTAAAGCAGAGTGGGAAAGATTTTTTGACTCTTGCTGGTATTCAACAGCATGTAATACATAATGGACATGGGCCATATATATGTAAAGTGTGTGATAAAGTCTTTCACTCTTCTGGTTCTTTCTTGACACACGAAAGAACACATACTGGAGACCAGCTTTATACATGTAAGCAGTGTGGTAAGACCTTCACTTATTCCAGTGGCCTTCGCCGCCATGAAAGGACCCATAGTGGAGAGAAACCCTATAAATGCAAGCAATTTCTGAAAGTCTTTCCTTCTTTGAGTAAGGCTGAGAGTCATGAACAGACATATAATGGAATAGAATACATATGTAATCAATGTGGGGTAGCCTTCAGTGATCACAATTCCCTTCAATGCCATGAAAAGATTCACAGTTTGGAGAAACCCTATGTATACAAGCAATGTGGAAAAGCATTCACTTGTTCTAGTGCCTTGCGAAGACATGAACGAATTCATACTGGAGTGAAACCCTATGAATGTAAGGTATGTGGGAAAGCCTTCATTGATTGCAGTTCTCTTCAGTGTCATGAAAGGATTCATAGTGGAGAGAAACCTTATGTGTGTAAGCTGTGTGGAAAAGCGTTCAGTCGCCAAGGTTCTCTTAAATGCCATGAAAGGATTCATAGTGGAGAAAAGCCCTATACATGCAAGCAATGTGGGAAAAACTTCATGCATCACAATGCTCTTAGATACCATGAACAGATTCACAGTGGAGAGAAGTCCTATGGGTGTAAGCAATGTGGGAAAGCCTTTGTGTTGAGCAGTGCATTGAAAAAACATGAACGAATTCACAGCGGATTGAAACCTTGTTTGTGCAGGGTGTGTGGAAAAGCCTTCACGTTTCATAGTTCCCTTCATTGCCATGAAAGGACTCACACTGGAGAGAAACCCTATGTATGTAAACAGTGTGGGAAAGCGTTTATGTATCACAGTTCTCTCCGTTGCCATGAAAATATTCACAGTGCGGAGAAACCCTATGTATGTAAGCTGTGTGGGACAGCCTTCACTTTTCACAGTTCGCTTCAACGCCATGAAAGAATCCACAGGGGAGAGAAACCATATGTATGTAAGTTCTGTGGGAAAGCCTTCACTGATCACAGTTCCCTTCGATGCCATGAAAGAATTCACACTGGAGAGAAACCCTATGTATGTAAACAATGTGGAAAATCCTACAGTACTCATGGTTCTCTTCGATACCATGAAAGGATGCACTGCGTGTAAACTGCATTGGAAGACGTTCTCCTTTTTGAATAAGTTTTAACCTCATTAACTAAAAAACAAAATATATGGTTGTAAGCAATGTGGATAAGCCTTAACATGTTCTGGTTCCCTTCAAAAATCATAAGTGGAGACACATTGGAGAGTATCTCTAAATATAGAATAAAGGGAAGCTCCTTTATTGCAAGCTCTTTCTAGCAAGCATGATGGCTTAGCGAATTTAACCTGTATTAATGTAAAGCATGTGGGATTATCTCTGCTTGCCTCTGTTTAGTTCTCCAAAAAAAAAAAAAAAACCACTAAGGGGTTGGGGAGATGGCTCAGTCTATGTAGTTCCAGCCGCAGAAGTGTGGGTCCTGAGTTTAAATCCTCACTACCCATATAAAAGCCAGATATGGTGGCACATGCTTGTAATCCCAGTGCTAGGGAGGCAGAGACAAAATATCCCTGAGCTTGCTGTTTAGGCAGTCTCAAATCTATTCAGGTTCAGTGAGAAATCTTTCAAAAAGTAAAGTGGAGAATGGTTAAGGAAGACTTCCAACATTAACATCAACCTCTAGCCTCTACTTGCAAGTATAATGTGAGCCACACACATGAACACTCATCCTCACATGAATACACAGCACACACACAAAAGAACACATGATCAGAACCTTGATCAGAAGAAATCTGTAAGTCTTCACTTGGCCAGCACATACACAATCAAAACCTTGTAAATGTAAGTAGAATCGTCATTTGTAGCATGTGTCAAAGGCTGATGTAGAAGGATTCTATTAACACAACTAATGTGAAGAGCCTAGCATAAAATAATTGATGGACTGCTTTAGAAATTGCACACTTCAGAGGAAATGTTGTAATGTTTATAAATGTTTGTCAGTGGCACATTCTTAGGTGATCTAAATTATGCGCTTCTAATTTTATTCTTGAAAGTAAATGTTTAAGTGAAGTTATTGCTAAGGTTTACTCAGTTGCATGTGCTTAATCTATAGTTTCAGTGTTGGTAATTCACTTAATAACTTTTTCTCCTTTTAATTTAAAATGTTGAAATGTCTTTTTAATATATGAGCAGTTTTAATTTTATGTAGTTTTAAAATAATTTTGTCTAATGAACCTGTAAAAAAAATTTTAATTTGGGCTGGGAAAATGGCTCAATGGATGAGCATCAGGACCTAGGTCAGATCCCCAGTACTCATGTAAAAAGCCAGATATGGCCAAACATACCTGTATCCCCAGCACTGAAAGTAGGGAATAATACAGAAAGGACTTGCTAACCAACCAGTCTAGGTGAAAAACAAGCTCCAAGATTAGTGCAAGACTATGTCTCAAGCAAACAGGAAGAGGATGGTAGGAGAGAATAGTTGGTGTTGTCCTCTGGCTTCCATGCATATAAGTTTGGTGCTCACAAATATGAAAAGTTATTAATACTTGGGATTTTCCTATGAGGCTTTTGTATAGGTCATGTTTATAAACTCAGAACAAATGACTTTAAAGTGGATTTAACTATTTTTTACTTTTAATATTTTCTCCAAATAAGATTTCTGTACATATTTTATATTTTAACTGTTTTCAACAGTGTATACATTGATATGTGTTATCTTTTTCATATATGGACAGTATATCTGCAAAATAATCATAAAAGAGATCAATTTCACAATTTTTCAATTTTTTCCTTTCAAGTTAGAGTCATTATTGTCAAAATACTGGTGAAATTTTCTTATATAGTAAAATCCTTCTAACTAATGCTCTTTTCCTACATAAATTTTATCATATTTATGTTATAGCTTTTTATCATGATTTTCCCCTCACTTCTCTCACACTGGTTTAAGTGTGCTCTGGCCAGAGATTACCAGGACCAAGGCTTTAGTCACATCGAATGTAATGGATTACAGTACTAAGTCTATCTACATACCATATCTGACTTCTTCATCAGAAATATCATGTTCTTTTTTATTTTAAGTTTAGTATTTTGTGCACGTGCGGTGTATGTAAGCACTGTGAGTGTGGTGGGAACATAGGTGTATGCAGGTGTTTGTGCCTGTGCACCTTTGGAGACCAGAGGAAGATACTGTCCTTCTGTATTACTCTTTGCCTTCTTCCCTTGAGACCAAGTTGCTCCCTGAACCACAAGCTAGGCTAGTAGTCATCCCCTGGCTCTGTTTCTAGAGAACCCTGGCTAACGCACTACGAAAGCAGTATGCTAGGTAAATTGCCAGAGTAGAAACCTAGGAAGGGGCGTGAACAGTCCAGTATTGCGGTAAAGCCCTCGCTCCTCTCAAGTTACGCCTTTCACAGTAATTTTCAGACATCTCTTTGACATCTTTCTAAAGTAGGAACATAGAAATGAGCACAGGTCAGGTAGATGAATGTAAGAACATACTATTTGCCAATGGAAATGAGACATTTTTGTGAGAAAGGGAATTGGTGAACCAGTCATTGAAACTGACTCAGCTATAAAGAAGAGTAGGTATTAGTAGGTGGCATCATACTAAAATACACGTTAGTCTCCATGGAAACTTACTGTGTAAAGAAGCTCTCGCTGTTGGCCTAATATGTCAGCTTGTATCCTTGGTACTGGCACACATAAACACAGGAGCAGGTGATAATCTTGTTACGTGTTTTAGCAAGTGTGATAGGAGCTCTAATACTACAGTCATTCACACTGGTCCTTAGTGTAAACACGGTACTGTTTATGTATGGAAATCATCTTGCCTGGGGAGATGGCACAGTGAGTAGGAGTGCTCACTGTACATATGTGAGGACCTGAGTTTGGGTCCCCAATCCCCCATAAAAAGCTGAGCTTAGCCACAAAATGCTGGTGATTTCAGCAGAGAGAGACAGGCGCGGGGGACGGCTGTGACTTCTGTCTGCCAGCCTAACTCTGGGTCCAGTGAGACCCGGTGTCAAGGTGGAGAGTGACAGAGAATGATGTCCTCCTCTGGCCTCTGCGCATCCTCAAGTGTGCAGGCATGTGTGCACATATCACACACACACAAAGATTTTTTTTTTAATTCTCTGGATTTTAAAGACAGGTAATCTGCCTAGAGATAGTACTACCCAGAGTGGACTGAACCCTCCTACATCATTTAGCAAGAAAATGCTGCACAGACATGCCCACTGTATGATGGCAGCAGTTCTTCAATTGAGGTTTCCTCTTCCCTGGTGTCACTTAGGTAGCCTCTGTCTAGGTTGGTCCTACCCACCATTGACCCATCATTGCGTGGACTTCAGCCTAGTCCTGAAAGGTATCCTGACAAGGCATATCCCCCCTCAGCCTGGCACATTTTCATTCTCCAAACATAAGATTTTTGGAGAAATTCCCTTTTCTTGGGTTCCATCATTTCATTAATCTAATAGATTGACAGATGTGTCTCTTTGGAATATCTTCAAGTCTATGAGGCTGGTTACAGAAGCTGAAACTGTTTATTAGTACACAAACAAAGTCAAGAGTTCTGCTTAAATACAGTTGCTCCCTGAGTGAAAACTGAGGACATGGCAGCTCCTGGCTATGGTGGAGGAGGTTTGTTGTAGATACGTGGAAGAGTACAGCCAGAGGCATCTGAAACGTTCCAGACTCAACATGGCCAGCAGATTGATCCGGACCATGAGAGGAGAGAAGTGGGGGTGGGGGGAGAAACAGAGAAGTGGGCCAAGAGAGATTCAGAAGTGGAGCCAGCCAGGAGCCAAGGGATTGAGTAATGAGTAAACAAAGTGACTGAGGTTATATAGGGATCAGAGGCTAGGGAAAAAGAAGCCCAGGCCCTGGCCTGGAGAGATTTAGGGTAGGGAGTGAGTGAAAAGTACTAAGAGGAGACAGGTATTGGGCAACGCTGGGAGAGCTCCAGCATTGGCTTTGATATGTTATAGACACTTCAGTTAGCCTATATTTCTTTGAGACCTAACACCCCGCCCCTGGATGGGCCAGTTTGAGACAAGAGAGAAGAACCGGTACTGTGGCTGGTTTTCACTTGCCTGCATCTTTAGGTCTGATCCCACAGCCTCTGTAGCTCTGTCTTGGACAGATAGAAGTAGTGTGCTATGACTGGACCGTTCTCTACGGCACCTGACTCCTCCATGCTGCTGCCACGTGCACTATGCTGAACCTAATCGCATGATATGAAGGATCCTGCCCCCTAAAAGGTTATTTTTAAAAATCAGACCTCGCCAGGTGGTGGTGACGCAAGCCTTTAATCCCAGTGCTCGGGAGGCAGAGGCAGGTGGACCTCTGTGAGTTCGAGGCCAGCCTTGTCTACAAGAGCTAGTTCCAGGACAGACTCCAAAGCTACAGAAAAAACCTGTCTCTAAAAAACAAAACAGGGCTGAAGAGATGGATCAGAGGTTAACAGCACTGACTGCTCTTCCAGAGGTCCCGAGTTCAATTCCCAGCAACCACATGATGGCTCACAACCATCTGTAATGAGATCTGGTGCCCTCTTCTGGTCTGCAGGCATACATGGAGGCTGAACACTGTGTACATAATAAATTAATCTTTAAAAAAATAAAAATAAAAAAACAAAACAAAAATCAAACCTCTTCATTTGCTCTGGAGAGTAGTCTGAGACAACGCAGGAGGATCGCTCAGGGCTTTGGTCTAGGGATGAAAACTGCTCTCTGAAGCTCCTCTGCCCTCCTCTCCCCTTCTCAAGGTCAGTCTGTCTGCCTCTTCCTGCCCCTCACCCTCTCCTTCCCACCCTCCACTCTCCCTCTCTTTCTCTCCCTCTTAAAGCCCTACGTTTAGATCTGCATAAACTGTATTTTGTCCAATGTCCTTCCTTCCACCTCCAGGACTGATCATGGCTTGAGGCAATTTATAATAAACCTGAAAAGAATTTGTATCAGCTTTCTTTGTGGAAGGACTGCTGCAGCTTTTCACTTTCTCACCGCTGGAATGTTTGGTTTATAGTGTTTCCATTAGTACACATTAACTATATGTAATGTTTCACAGTAATATTCTCATTCGTGTACATAATGTATCTTGTTCATACTCCCGCACACAGATTTTTGCCCTCTCTTGTCCCTCTCCCTCTCTTCTTGACTCCTTTCATCTATCATGTCTGTGTGTCTCAATGAACTTCATTAGAGTTGTTGACAGGAGAAGGAGGGCTGGTGTCAGTGAGGGGTGGGAGAATAATATACTGTCACTGGACATCAGCAATGACCGCAGAAGGAGCGCGGAGCGGCAGGTACGAACTGTCCAATCAGGAGCGCTAAGAGGCAGTTCCTTCTCTGCCAGCCATCTTTCTTCCTGGAGGCTCTCAGCTACCAACTGAGAGAGTCCGAGA